TATAATCAGAAGAAAATAAAATGGGAAATGGAAAATAATTATGAAAAGTTTTCCTACTATTTATTGCAAGTGTGTAATAAATATGAAGGCAATAAATGTGAAGAACTATGCACTGCACTGTAGCACTGTCCTCCCATTGTTCATCGATTTGCTCGAGCGGGCCCAGTAACGTCTCCATTGTGAGACTTGTTGTTACTGTGTTTGACATATTGAATACGTCACGGGTAGCTTGCCAGGCTTTACCGTGTGGGCGAGATACTCTCGGTAGCTTGCTGGGCTCTCCGAGAGGGGCGGAGGAATCGAACTCAGGTCAACCCGGTCAGCCGCGTGCAAGGCAAACGTCCTACCTGCTGTGCTATCGCTCTAGCCCAAAGAATTATGACTTCACTAAAATTAAAAAAATAAAAGGAGAACCTTTGGGATTCTTCGTGTCATAACCAAACAAAAAGCTAACTGGGAAATAGCAATTCCCAGTACTGAAATATCTATATATAGGTTCAGGTCAGTCAAACACTATGTCTATGCATTTTCATACTGGTGAGTTTGTTTAAATATGCTTGAAAATACTACTCACAGGGAAGAGCATGTATTAGAATGTTTCTTTCTTTTCATGCATGTCATTCTGATACATACACCCAGCATCATTCAGGGTTTTTCCTGATTCTGTGCTCAGGGAGCACTCCTCATGACAATGCTCATATGTGATACCAGGTATTAAATCAGAGCTGACCACATGCAAGGCTAACACCTTATCCCTGTGCTATGTCTCTGACCCAAAGGAAAATGTATTTCCTGTTGTTTGTCAATATCTATAGTTTCAAGCTTTCTTCACTAGTGGAAAAAATAGACACAAAATTATATCAATACCCTTTGAGATATGATAATTATATGCCCAGAGTGCTGAAGGAGGATGGAAGCATTTGTTTATTTTGTTTTTGTCTTTTATTGCCTTGGATTTTGTTTGTTTGTTCAAACAATCCAAATGCTACAAAAGTTCCTAGCTGTTTGCCTTTTCTTTTCCAGGAGTTTGCCATTTTCTCCCATGCCCCGATTTGGTTGTAAATACCTTACTACAGTCTAAAGTTGTAAATTAAATTTTGGAACCTCACAGATAGAGACTGGCTATCCATTCCTAGGCCACAGCACAGTGCCCAGCTTAGCATTTTTTCTTAACCCAAATAAAGAAATTTTTCTACCAAAATCCAACTTGTATGTGGTTTTCCCAGCAAACCAACCTGACTTGGGCTCATTTAAAGAGGTCATTGAAACCAATACCAAATATTATCATTTCTATTTTTAGATATTTTCACTTTCTTTAGTATTTGTTTTCTTTTGCCTTCTCAAAAACTATTTGGCCAGAACTTTTTCCTAATGTTATTTAATACAGATTCTCAGGAGCACCCTGAAATACAATATAGAAATCCACTTGGCTCAAAGTAAGTTAGTCCTGGTGCCTGATCTCTAAAGACCCTTTAAATGCGTTGAGCTTTAATTGTCCCCATCAGAAAGAGGAAGGAGAAAATGTTATTTTTACAAAATCTGTTTTTGAGTCATTGTCCCAGAGTCTTGCCTCTGTTATTTATGTTCTCTTTGATCACTTTCAACGGAGCCTGATAAACTTTTTTACAACTCAAAGCTAATTTGTCACTTTGACCTCAGAGCTCTGTGAATTCTATTAGAATTCTATTTGTACCTTTATTTCGCTTTTTCTTGCACCTTATCTTTAAGCATTTTAATCTTCCTTTAATCTAATTCTTGTGAATCTCAATTTTTGAAGAAATAAACAAAGATGGAATTCTCAACATTGATTGATGAAACATCAGTTTACCCTTCCTTGAAAAAATAACTTTATTGCAAAATGAAGGGGAATGAAAATAGATACTGGATATATAGAAAGGCAGGTCAGCAATCTAATCTAGATAGGAAGAAAATGAATAATGGAACAAATTCTAGAAAATACTGAATAAACAAATACTTCTCAATGATAAGTACTTTTTACATCATTTTATACCATCTCAGTAAACCTATGAGGCAAGGCCTATTTTAATCCCATTTTATAACTAACAGGAATTTGCATTGATCAGAGTAAGGAACTTGTGTACAATCACATAAACTGTCAAGTGATGCTACTTGGACTAGAATTCAGGTCCTTGAACTGAATGCTAAAGTAAAATAAAATAAATTTAATTAGTGAAAAATATATTAAGCAATGATTTTGGTTTGACATTGGGGTCATAAAGCATAAAATGCAAGCTCCACTCTTGATGTGCTCGCCTATAAGAGTGAGATCATTTGATGTGGACTTAAGTTACACTCAAGTAAATGTTACATATATATATATATATATATGTATATACACATACACACATACATATACATATATATAAAAGATACAATTCAAATGTTCTGGTAATTCAGGGTTGAGTGTTATTTTTGCCTGGGATTAATTAGGGAAATACTTCACAAAAAAATATGAGCATCCAGAAATAGACAAGGAACAAAAAAGGATATTCACAGCATCATGAACCATATAAACCCCCTTTATTTTTTCATTATTATTTTAAATTTTATTTTAGGCACTGTGATTTGCAATATTTTAATGGTATGGTTTCGTGCATAAACATTAAAGCACCACACTGTCCACCTGAGTGTCCTCTTCCTGCACCATTGTCCCAGTGTTCTGCCCACCACCCCACTTCCCACCCAGACCTATTTCCCCTTTCATCCTCTCCGCCATGATAAGATTTCTACTGAAAAAACAACCTTCTCTGTTTTTGTTGCCTTGGGGAATTTGTTATACCTGTTAAACTGTTTCTTTATAATTCACATATGAGAGAGATTATTATGCTTCTGTCCCTCTCCTGACTAACTTCACCCAGCATAGATATCTCCAAATTCACCCATGTAGCCACAAATGCCATGATTTCATCTTTTCTTATAGCCAAGTAGTATTCTATTGTGTATATGTACCACAGCTTCTTTATCTAGTCATCTGTTCTTGGATACTTGGGTTATTTCCAGATTTTGACTATTTTTACATATAGTACTATAATGACTATATATAATAGTCAAAATCTGGAATAGTACTGTAATGATGGGCTGGAGCGATAGCACAGTGGGTAGGGCATTTGCCTTGCAAGCGGCCGATATGGCCGACCCGAGTTCAATTCCTTTGCCCCTCTCGGAGAGCCCGGCAAGCTACCGAGAGGATCTCGCCTGCACAGCAAAGCCTGGCAAACTACCCGTAACGTATTCAATATGCCAAACACAGTAGCAGTTGTCACAATGGGGACGTTACTGGGTCCACTCAAGCAAATCGATGAACAACGGGAGGACAGTGACACTGACTATAATGACCATAGGTGTGCAAACATCTTTTCTGAATAGAGTTTGAGGACCCTTGGAGTAGATGCCAAGAAATGGAATTGGTGGGTCATGTGGAAGTTCAACATCTGGGTTTTTGAGAAGTGTACATAAATTTTTTTTTCAAAACAGGCTGTACCAGTTGACATTCCTGCCTGCAATGAATAAGGTTCCCTTTTTCCCCCACACCCCTGCCAATGCTGGTTGTTTTTGTTCTTTGTAATGTGTGCCAGTCTCACTGGCTTGAAGTGACATCTCATTGCTTTGATTTGCATTTCCCTGATCATCAGTGATGTGGAGCATTTTTTTCTATATACCTTTTGGCCGTCTTTTTTTTCCTTCTTTGAGGAAGTATACCCCAAGTATATACCTTTTAGGCTCTTCATTGATTGGAGAACCAGTTTTCGAGGAGTGGTTGTGGGCTATATAGCAGAATTCAGGGAAATTGTGAGGAACAGCTTAAGAGAAGAAGAAAAATAAATTGCAGCTGGGTAGAAAGGGTTCCAAGGGTCATATTAAAGACTTTTCAGAAGGAGCCTCTAAGCTGAGAATTCACAAGATCACATTTGAATTCCATTCTAGAAAGTTAGTTAAGTGAGAAGAGTAGGGGACAAAGATTCTAGTCTGGTTTGTATTAGAAAAGACCCCCCCCAAGAGACCCAAGACCCTCGTGGGACAAGGGTCACCATCCACACACTGGAGCTGACTGTGAACATTATCTGCATTGAGTCTTGGGAAAACACATGGTGAAGCAGAGGAAGGAGCTGATGACTCAGTTCATCTAGGAAGGAAATTATTTATATGCTGTAGGTCAAGGTCATACTGGGCCCAAGGGACTTGCAAGATAAGTCCTCTGAAGTCAGGGAATCCAGACTCTCATTTCTCAGAGAGTGCAAATTATTTCAGGCAGAATCCGTGCAGGGAGATAGATGTGTGAGATGTGCAGAGTGTTTGACAGAGCAGAGAAACAGAAGCTGGAGCAACCATTAAGTTCAGAATTGATGGAAAGCAATAATCCAGTCAAATAGAGTGGTGGGATTGTACTACCTTCAATTAATGAACTATAGAATGAATCCCGAGCTTCTACTTCTAAGAATTCAGTAGATAACTTGACGATTAATTTTTACAAGGAGTAATAAGAATTAGAATTGGAGACTCCAGTAAGGAGTAGTAACTTTGACATATGGTTGACTTTGAGGTTCTGAAGAAGGAAACTGAAGTGTATTCCTGGGACTCAGTGAAGATGTTTCGAAAGATATGTGCCTTGTGTGGCAGGATTAAGTTTCTTTGTGAAAGAGAACTGCAGGGGTTTATATTTAGACTGTCTAGTCTGCTGGGAATCACACCCTCTTTATAATCAGTTAAGGGAAATATCTTAAAGAGGAAGGAGGATTGCACAGAAAATAGAAAAAGAAGAAGGTCGGGCAGGTTGAGGAGAACCAGCAGTCACTAGGATGTACAGGGCTAGGTGGAAGGACTGAGACAAGATCCACAGAGCAGTGATAGTAGAGGAAGGACCAAGGCAAGGTATGCAGGAATGGAGGCTGGGAGGGTGGTGGGCATGAAGGGAAGAAAACCTCGTGGGAGGCGGGCATTGCTCTGCTTCCCTGCTCTCTCACACTCCCCTTGTTTTCCAGGGTGAAGACTCAGATGAAGAAGATCTCTGCATCAGTAACAAATGGACTTTCCAAAGAACCAGCCGCCGGTGGTCTCGCGTGGATGACCTCCACACTCTGTTTCCAGGGGGTGACAGAAATGGGTCCTCGGGAGACATTAGGATGAGAAACACGACCAGCAGTGAAAGCGTCCTCACCGATCTGAGCGAGCCCGAGGTCTGCTCCATCCACAGTGGCAGCAGTGGAGGCAGCGACAGCCGCAGTCAGCTAGGCAGCCACAGCGCCGGCCGAGAGGCCCTGGACAGCTCTGGGCACGGGGCAGACAGCCCGGTCATGCTGGATGCCACGCTCCTCAGCACCCGCCCACAGTCCCCCAAGGACACTCAGAACCACCCCTTTCACCTGAAGAATGAGAAACCCACCCGTGCCAGAGCCAAGTCGTTTCTGAAACGCATGGAAACCCTCCGAGGGAAAGGCGCCCACGGGAGGCACAAGGCACAGGGCCGGACAGGTGGCTTGGTGATCAGCGGGCCTGTGCTCCAGCAGGAGCCAGAGTCCTTTAAGGCTATGCAGTATGTCCAGATTCCTAATGGGGATCTCCGGAACGTGTCCCCTAGCATAGGCCGCAAAGGGCTGGCCTGTGCCAGCAAGTGGGGCACTGAAAGCAGCCAGTCGGAAAACAGCGGCAGCGGCCTGGCCATGCCCGGCCCAAAGGAACGCAAGTGCCAGGAGACCAACAAGCGTGGGGGCATGTACTTGGAGGACCTCGATGTGCTGGCAGAGACAGCACTCAGGGACATGGGTGACCAAAACCACACATACGAGTTCCATTCCCAAGAGAACTTGGTCGTACATGTTCCCAAGGATCACAAACCAGGAACGTTCCCCAAGGCGCTCTCCATTGAAAGCCTCTCACCAACCGACAATGACAATGGCGTGAACTGGAGAACCGGGAGCCTCTCCCTGGGCAGACAGCAGGACTCTGGGGCCAGGGATCCCAAGCTCATGGCATCCTGCCACCGAGCCAGCCGAGTCAGTATTTATGACAACGTTCCAGGCTCTCATTTGTATGCCAGCACGGGAGACCTCTTGGACCTGGAGAAAGATGATATCTTCCCCCACTTGGATGATATTCTGCACCATGTTAACGGACTCCAGGAGGTAGTGGATGACTGGTCCAAAAACCTCTTGCCTGAACTGCAAGCACATGATGCACTAGTTAGAGGACCTGGCTTGTGCCCCCTTCCATCTTCAAATCAGATCACCTTAGACTTTGAAGGCACCTCTGTCTCCGATGGTCGGACAACACCCAGTGATGTGGAAAAAGATGGAACCTCCCTTAATGAGTCGGAGGCCACAGGAGTGAGAGAAAGGAGGGATTCTGGTGTTGGAGCCTCTCTGACCAGGCCCAACAGGTTAGTGGCATGATTTTATGAAATTCTTTTCAATCCATTTCTTACTGATTATGAGCTTCTATTTGATTGAATGTAGAGCACTTACTGAATAACCCTGCGCATGCTGTAAGATGATATCCAGGCAGTCCTCTGCATACTACAGTTCAACTTGGACTTTTTGACTTTAGCATAGAGCAGAAGTAGTAGGTATTTGATAGAAACTGTACTTCAAATTTTAGATTATTTTTCCGAGGTAGCCATACAGGTAAGATACTCTCTTTCAGTGCAGGAACATGAGACTTCAAGGGGCAACCACCTATACTCTATATTAAAATACACAGCACACTTAGCTCTGTAGCACTGTCCTCCCATTTTTCATCGATTTGCTCAAGCGGGCACCAGTAACGTCTCCGTTATGAGACTTGTTGTTACTGGTTTTGGCATATCCATTATGCCACAGGGAGCTTGCCAGGCTCTGCCGTGCAGGCGGGCTCTCGAGGGACAGAGAAATCGAACCCGGGTCAGCCGCATGCAAGGCAAACTCCCTACCCACTGTGCTATCACTCAGGCGATAGTGCAACACATTTAATACTTGGTTATTTAAATAGGCTTTGCATTAGATGGTTTTGCCCAGTAGTAAGCTAATATTAGTGTTCTGAGTGTGTTTAATGTAGGTTATGCTAAACTATGTATAATAGATTCACTATATTATATACATTTTTTTACTTTCCATATTTTCAGCTTACTTTGGTTGATTGTAACATAATTTCATTTAAACTAAAGGAGATTCAGGGGGCTGAGGGATAGTACAAAGGGTAGTGTGTTTGCCTCGCGTGAGGTTCACCCTAGTTCCATCCGTGGCATCCCGACCCCACCAGAAGTGAGCCCTGAGCATGGCCAGATGTACCCCCCTCAAAAAAAACCCAAGCCCCAAAGACAAATTTAAAGGAAATTTTTACATGATTAAGAATTTTTGAGGGCCAGAGAGATAGCTCAAACAGACTAGATTTTGCTTGAGGGGGGTCCAGATTTGATCCCCAGCATCCTGAGGTCCCCAAGCACCACAGCAAGCAACCCCAAGCACAAAGCTTGGAGTAAACCCCAAACACCTCTGGGTATGGCCCAAAAACAGAGCAAACAAATGTAAAAGAACTTTTTTTTCAGAAAACTGTCTTTTGTCCAAAGGTTGTAGTGGTTACATCAATGTGAACTCATTCATTTTTCTGTTTACTTTTTATTTTGATGATTAGTTTTTCTAAAGTTTGAGTTTATTGAGTATTGAGTGAATAAAACCCAATACTTGCAATGTGAAGAATCACTGATAAGCCCTGATGACCAAAGCTCATTGTTCATCACCTTGTTAAAGTATGAATTTATTGATTGATTAACGGTCAGGGAGTGGCTTACAGGAGTGGAGTGCATTCTTTCTTTCCTACAGGAGCCCCAGGTCCTGTCCTCAGCACTGTAGGCCCCTGAACACTGCCAGGTGTGGACTCAAACCCAAAATAAAAGGACACACACATATAAAATTAATTTAAATGTCTACTGCAAATTTCAATTTTTTTAATCCTGTGAGAACTTTCTGAAATTTAAGATATGTACTTCATTCATAAGATAGCTTTTGCTTTAAAATATCAATTATAGGATGGAGAGATAGTATAATGGATAATGTACTTTCCTCACACATATCCAACATGAGTTCAATCCCTGGCACCCCAGATGGCCTGTTAAGCACCTATAGGAATGATCCCTGAGAGCACAGAACCAGGAGTATGAAGCCAACCCAGGTCCAATCTCTGGAGTAACCCTGAGACCACTGGGTATCACCCTAAATCACTGTCACGGTCCTCCCGTTGTTCATCGATTTGCTCGAGCGGGCCCAGTAAAGTCTCCATCATGAGACTTGTTACTGTGTTTGACATATCGAGTACGTCACGGGGAGCTTGCCGGGCTCTGCCGTGCGGGCGAGATACTCTCGGTAGCAGCTTGCCGGGCTCTCGGAGAGGGGCGGAGGAATCGAACTCGGGTCGGCCATGTTGGCTGCGTGCAAGGCAAATGCCCTACCGCTGTGCTATCACCCTAAAACTAAAACTAAATAAACAAATTGCCAGTCCAGAAGTTCCTAAAAGTGTTTTCACAAGGATGGTATCCAGAGCACCGTAGGAAAGTGACTGAGCAAGTTTCAAGCAAAAACGAACATGTTGTACGTAACTCAGATCTCCGCTACTTAAGGTTAGTAATATCTGGTATTTTCTGATTAATCTGCACTTTGTGACTCCCTTCTCTGCCTGTCCTTCTGCTCCAGGCGCCTCCGGTGGGACAGTTTCCAGCTCTCCCACCAGCCGCAGCCGTCCACAGCGTCACCCCACATCAGCAGCCAGACCGCCGGCCAGCTCAACCTGCTGCAGCGCTTCTCACTACTCCGCCTCACAGCCATCATGGAAAAATACTCCATGTCCAATAAACATGGCTGGACATGGTATGTAGCACCTCCACTCGGGAGGGGTCATGTGTTCTAATGCCAAGTCTACGGCTGCAAAAGCTTCAGTATTCACTCTGATGTCCAAGAGTCCTGGCCATTGCCCCCACTGTCCGTGTGAAAGTGATGCCCCCATTCTGCCTTATCCTCTCCCTCTGGGCTGCCATGGCTTGTGTGCGATATAGCCAGCAGAAAGCATGGCTTTATTTGTAGCTCTCAGTTGGTTTCCAGGGAAAGCAATCAGGATCTCCAAAAAGGAAAAAAAGACAAGTGAAGGGTAATTAATTGTGAAGAGGGGAATTAAAAATAAACTTGCCACAAGATAGTACTGGCAGTTTGCAAAGAAACATCTGTCACTTGCAACTTCTGGCCTAATGCAGAACTCACTAACTTAGAGCTTAGTACATTGATTCACTCACAGAGCATTTAACTTTCCTAATGTATTTTGGCTAATGTATTTCCTAATGTATTTTGGCTTTCCTAATGTTCAATGGCAAATGCAAACTATAATATGCAGTAAATCCTTATAATAAGGACTGGAGAAGCATATGTCAGAACTTGTATGTGAACCCACTTTTAAGGCTCTGGTAGATTTGAATAATGTGTTGTTAGTTGCCCTGTTATGTCTATCAAAGAATCAATGATATTTTATTTAAAATATTTTAGGAAGAATAAGTTTCATGGTGAAATCAACATACACTTACTTTTTGTGAAAAGTATATGTTTTTGTGAAAAGTACAGCTGATTCCAGGAAAGCTAAAGATAGAAGAGGTTTCTCATCTTCTCACCTCTCTGTTCTCTATACCCAACCAAATTTCTTGTTGTCGTTTTGAATTCGTTGTGTTTTGTCTTGTTGAGAACTTCGAAGCATTTATCACTTGAGAGAGTGTCAGTCATGATGAGGTTCGAAAGTCATCTACTTGCTGGGAAAACAGTCCTGAAAACATTCCGCTAATATGAGTCATGCTCTTAGAGGTCTCACGCTCAGGCAAGGGGCACACATTGAATTTCCATGTAATGTGATTAATTAGGAGAGAACTGTGTAATTTTGCTTGTGCCTATGGGGTATTGCAACAAAAGCTTGGCTTCCCTCTCTTGCTTTCACAGCCTGTCTCCACGGTGTGCCCCAGGAGGCAGGCATGACCTGGTTTCTGTGAATTCTAGGTCGGTTCCAAAGTTCATGAAGAGGATGAAAGTTCCTGATTACAAAGACAAGATGGTCTTTGGCGTTCCTCTGATAGTTCACGTCCAGAGAACGGGACAGCCTCTGCCTCAGAGTATTCAGCAAGCACTGAGATACCTACGCAGCAGATGCCTTGATCAGGTATGGTCATCATCCCAAGCACAGGCTGACAGATGTAGGATGCCAGATGGGCTGGTCTAATAGCCAATAAAGACATGTTTCATTGTGAATATTTTGTTTCTTTTGGTTTTTGTCTGGTTGGTTGGTTTGGAGGCCATTCCCAGAGCTCCGGAGTTACTCCTGGCTCTGTACTCAGGAATCTGTCCTGACAGTGTTTGGGGGACTATGTGGGATGCTGGGAATCAAATCCAGGTTGACCACTTACAAGGGAAGCACCTTACCTGCTGGACAATCTTTCTGGCCCAATAAGGTGAATGTTTTGCTCAGGTTACATCCTTGTCAGTCTGTTTGAGGTTATTTACTCAACGGCAAATTGATTGGCTCCCTGGAGTGACTAGAGAAAGTGAATGTTGATGATCTATACTTGTTATACCCCTAGAAACTGGGAGTTAAGCTGTATACTATGTTTACTGTTTAATCTTTGTCCAAAACTTCTATCAGTTTTGCAGTACTTTTATCCAGGTTGTATTATTTTTTGAAAATTTTGTTTGTTTGTTTGTTGCCTTTTGGGGCCACACCTGACGATGCTCAGGATTTACTTCTGACTACTGCACTCAGGAATTACTCCCAGTGGTGCTCAGAGGACTTTTTAGGATGCCAGAGATTGGACCTGGGTTGGCTTCATGCAAGACCTACCCTCTGTACTATTGCTCTAGCCCTTGAAAATATTTTCCTCAATTTATTTAAGCACCATGGTTTACAAAGTTGTTCATGATGATTTAGGCATTCAGTATTCCAACACCAATGCTATCACCACTGTCACCTTCCCTCCACCATTGCCTTCAAGCCTGCCCCCATAGCAGGCCCACAATAATTTGTTTTATGTTGCTTGTTACCACTAAATAGCTAACGGAATGATCAAAAAAAATCCATAGAAGAAAATTGTGAAAATTGTTTTTTCTCACCATGGGGACATTAAGTCCTTATCTAAGGGTTTAGAAAGATGTTACAAGTTAAGCCTTCTGTCTTAATGTTTTTGTTAAGTCAGTATTTGCTCCTACATTACATCCCATCCAATCTCGTGTGCAGCCACCGGGATGTCAGTGTTGTCAAGTTTGGAGGTGTTTCACAGCTGTGAATGCAGCCACCTGCGCCAGAAAATCCAGAATATTTACCAGGGCAGTCGGGCCAGAGGCATGGTGGCAGTGGTGGTGGTCATGGGTCATGGGGGTGGCTCCCTGGGCTTCTAGAAGTACAGGGAGGTGGGGGAGGTCACCCATCCTGAGTCCGAGAAGGTCTGGAGTTTTCAGCCCAAAAATTTATGTACCAGAAATTCTCAGCCAGTTAGGTTCTCTATGGAGTTGAGTCTTGAGTCAGTGGAGTCCTGGCAGAGACATGGCAACACTTTGGGGTGTGAGAATGACTTCCTGGGCTTTGTTTGGGCAGGAGCTGACTCGTTCCCCCTCCAGAGATTGCCCCATATATTTCAGCTAGGAGTGGGTATCCTAGAAATTTTTGTGGCTAGTTGATCTCTTTCAAGACTTATTTGTGAGTATCTGGAATAAGGACAGTAGATGAGCTTATGGTGGCAGTGATGAGTCATGGGTGTGGCTGCCTGGGCTTCCCAAAGTATGGGAATGAAAGTATTTTTATTTTTGATATTTTAAAATATTTTTATTTTTTATATTTGGAAATCTTTTTAATTGATTTTGCATCCTAAAATTATTGCAAACATAAGCTTGACAGTATATGTTGTACACTCAGGTTTTTATATCTCCCACCCTTTTTTTTCAAAGCAGTGTTATGACTAGGAAAACTAAAGACAAATTTATTGAGATCTTTTTTAAAATGTATAAATAACATTTTAAAATAGTATCAGCTAAATGAAATATACCATCTTATATAAATAGTTGAAAATCTAAAGCTAAACAAAATATGCCTGAACAATAATACAGCAGGTAGGGCATTTGCTTCACCATGGACGACCTGGGTTCCATCCTTGATATCCCATATGGTCCCCAAGCAACACCAGAAGTAATTCCTGAGTGCAGAGCCAAGGAGTAAACCTGAACACCCCTGGGTGTGGTCCTTCCCAAAATACAAACAAAATGATGAGAAAAAAAAACAACAACAAAAAACAATGGGTTGGGATCATTTTCTGCCTCCAAGACCCTGAGACTCATATTGGACCCTTGTTGTGATTTATAAGCCAAGAATTGGCTCCTCGACATTTGTATGCATTAATTTCTTAGCTGTTCTATCCAGAGTGAAAGCCATGCTTGATAAATTGCAACCTTGAATACCAGGGATGTTCTCAGTCCCTATTCTAAAGTGGCTTTAGATGAACATCTTTAGTATCATGTCGAATCTGTCCAACTAAGATTATGTGTGATTTTAATGATTAACCCTTGACTCGGGCTCAGAAAACATGAACTCACTTCAACTAAATGACATGAACTCAAAGATTCTGGCTCTATATATTGTAGCTACCACAATATCTGAGATTGCACTTCAAATCCGTTTTCTTAATGAGTCACGATATCAGTTTTCTGTAGAACAGAATGAAAGTTATTCTTCATTTGATGCTGTCTTTGAAATGACTGCATTAACACCTTTTCCCTGGCCACTACTAATTTATAGACATATACACATGCATTTTCCCACATTTAAACGTTAATGGTAGAAAGCAGGAATGGTTGCTGTTACTGTTATCCTGACGGCTATTTGTTTTGAGAAATGGCATTAGCACATTGCCACTTTTCTAAAACAACAGTGCTTTTTCAAGAGTGCATACTAAGCAAAGGTAGATGATTTGGAGTATTTTACTTGGAAAAAAATTTGAAGAAATGGACTCAGGTGAATATTGGGGAAAGAAAGTTAACAATGCCTATTATCATTGACAACTCTAAATGTCTTGCAAATATATATTTGTTAAAGGATGCAGGCTTTATTGTGCTTTTGTGGAATTGTTGGTACAGACCCAAGATCGTATTTTGTGGAGGGAGCCTTTAGGTCAGACCCATTTTTCCAAGCTTCTGAATTTTCATAGCATTATAAGACTCATTCTCCCATTGCCTGATTCACTTAGAGGCTTTCATTATGCCTTTCGCCGAGCACTAGAAATTGTTTTATTCTAAACATTGTGAATGATTAGCTAATGCTTAACAGCAAAATTCTACTAAGAGTAAACATTATTTGTTCAGAAATGCCTAGTAGAAATGCAATCTATTTCCACCATAGGTTCAATAATAATACCTCTCCGAAGACCCCAGGATGCTTCAGTTATTGTACTAAAGTATTTCACTTTTATTGCCTCGTTTAACCCCACACCCATACTTGGCTGTGTTAGTCTCTAGGTGATAATAGTGAAGCCAGCATTTGCTTCACTCTAAGTACAGAGCCCAAGATTTTAACCACTGCACTCTGCTTCCACCTTTATAGTTTTTTGTTTGTACCCAGTCAGATTTGAGGTGACGCACTCACAAATTCACTGTCAGTATATTGCTATGTTGTTAACCATTGACTCATGTAGTCCTTTTGTAAACAAAATAAAATATTTTTTTACTCTGGCCTCAGCACCTTAGATCACCATGTTTTTCTTGGACAGGGTATGTGTTCTTATACTGTGACACCAGACTTATTCAATTGGATGTGCTTTTATCTCTATACTTGTTGCAAAAAATATTAGAGCCCAATGCACATTCTGCCTGTAGTAAATATATATGATTTAGAAGCATGAAAATTATATATCAACCTCATTTCTAGTCTCAACCACCTTTTCCTATCTTTATTTTCTTGGTGCTCCTATTTTCTTTCCTGTTACCTTTAAATACATAGCACATCAATCATGCATCCTGTCAATTCTGAATAATTTTAATGGGTCGTATCATTATCACTCTAATCAGGCCCCCTCTTCTGTCTGGAGCAAAAGTCATATGAAGAAAGAGAAGGTTAGGAGACACCTCTATTCACTGGTTTGCTCCCATTCTCCACCTCAAGCCAACAACCATGTTTTGACATCTGGAAGAACACTGTGCTGCAAAAAAGCATGTTGGTCAAGCTTTACAGGATCAATGGATTTTAAGGGAATAATAGTTTGTTCTACATGGACCCAAAAGGAAGAAGGCAATCCTTTCCTTGTATCAGTCAAAAGGAAGAAACTGTAAGGTGTCAAAGGAACTGTCAAAGTAGCAGTCACTACGTTAACAAGGATCTCAACACAGGCAGAATTTCCAACTCCAGTTTATCAACTTAATGTGTTTTTATCTTTATATTTGTCCAAGAGGAAAGCATAGAGAGACCTGGAGCAATAGTACAGTGGGTAGGGGGTTTGCCTTGCACACGGCTGACCCCGGTTCAATTCCCAGTATCCCATATGGTCCCCAGATCATACTAGGAGTGACTTCTGAATGCAGAGCCAAGAATAATCGATGAGCATTACTCAGTGCATCTATACCTCTCACTTCCCTCTACACACACACACACACACACACACACACACACACACACACACACACAGACACACACAAATAATAAGAAGGAAGATAGAGACTCCTCTGGTTTCTGTGAAAAAAGGAAGGGGGAGGGCAGGAAAACTAGAGAAACATCATGAAGAACCAAAAAAAAAAAAAAAAGAAAAACTGGGCTTGAGAGAAAGTCTGTTTAGAGACTTTTAGAGTGAACAATGGCAAAATAAAAGCCTGTGAATCTGAAAGAAAAGGACAAAAGGGATTGAGGAACAAACATACATAGTTCTGGAGAAATGTTCGTTATCAACAGCCCCCACTTTGAACCAAAAATTTCCAGCATGCACTTTATCTCAAGGTCTTCAGCCCCTGGATTGTAGAAGTTCAGATGCCTCAGAATATCCTTGTTTGAATAGCATTTGACTGGCTCCTTTGCTGTCTTTCTTTATGCCGTCTCCTGGAACTACCATCTACATCTCTCCAAGATTTTGCCCTTGGTCTGAAGGAGGGAGGCTTCCTGAAATGAGCAGCTCCCCTTCCTATAATGTTAAGCTTTCATCTCACATATAAGCATTTGTGGCAAAGTAATGAATTGCCGCAGAACCCTGAAAACCTTGGGAACATGTCACCTCCTACACTCCCAAGTACAGAACAGTTTATATATGATGAAACGCAGTGTATCCATTTTAGCCCTTGCAGCTGGCAGTAGATGAAATAAGGAAGTTTAGCGTTCGATTATAAACCATTTGTATTCAGACAGAGCAGTGCATGAGAAGAGCCTAGCTTTGTTGGCTGAACCTTTATTTCCGTCCTAAATCAAGTGAATCTGCACAGAAGGATAGGTTAGACTGAACTCCTGATGAATGGAAGCCACTGCAGCGAGAAGCTGAGCCTGCATTGCTCAAAATCAGAATCCACCCCATCCTGTTCTTAGGAACCATTCTCCTTCTGAATGAAACCAACCTTTCTTCGTTAGCTGAGCACATTTCTAAAGAAAGGGAAATGGAAGTCACGATAAACATCATTAAGTACAGAACAGATTAGCATAAACAGGATGCCAAGCAGGAGATTTAATATTATTAGATGAAATTTGAATTCTAATGTAGCACTCATGCCCAAGCTCTCCTCCTAATGGAATAGTAAGTTTTAAAAGCCCAATTAGGTTGGGAAGACTCTTCACACTCTGCCCACTACCCATTCATCACTTTCCCTGTTGCCAATCTCAGATAAAATGAGGCATGCTCTGGGGCCTCTCCCTAAATTATACCTTGCCTGCTTGCTTTGTTCATGGCTGGCATATTAGTTGAAAGACGAACGAGGAAAGGAAAACTAGGCCAGGGGAACATTCATTCCTTATCCATTCACCTTCAAAGCCAGAGATCTCATGCAAGAGAGATGAGATGCCTGTGAAATGGATTTTGCCTTGCTGAGGCCATTCTCTCCTTTTGGAGCAAGGACTGAACTGTGCTTTCAAGGTAGATAAGCGCAGGACCTGCTAGGTAATTTGTGGGGGTGTGCACAAAATAGAGATTTGATATCCCTTATTCAGAGAATGGGCAGGAGCGATAGCATCGTGGGTAAGGCGTTTGCCTTGCACGCGGCTGGCCCAGGTTCGATTCCTCAGTCCCCCTCGGAGAGCTCAGCAAGCTACTGAGAGTATCCCGCCCACATAGCAGAGCCTGGTAAACTCCCCGTTGTGTATTTGATATGTCAAAAACAGTAACAACAAGTCTCACAATGGAGACATTACTGGTGCCCGCTCGAGCAAATTGATGAACAACAGGAGGACAGTGCAACAGACAGTGACATTCAGAGAATATTAAGAATTTCAGCAAGGTGACTGCAAAGAATTAAGTCAAAGGTAGGCCCCGTTGTGATTAGTCCTCTCCTCACCAGGGACAGACACGGAGGTAACAGAGAGATACTGCAACGAAGTTCATAGTCCTCCCAGTGCAGAATATGGGCATTCTCAGAAACAATGGATTATATGATGGCTCCTCCCATTTTCCATTTTTATTGGGGGGCGGGGGGGACAAACCCCATATACACATTTTCTTACTGATTTGTAAACCTTTCGAAGCTGAAATGATGACTAAGTGCCACCACTCATGGTTGTTTGGGGTTTTGGTTTAGGGGCGACACCAGTGGTGCTCAGGTATCACCCAGGTCCACAGCATTTGCAAGGCAAATAATGTACTATTTATTTATTTTATTAAATTAAATTAATGAATTGCATTTTATTTAATAAATCAAATTAATAAATCGATAAATTATTTATTTATTTAATAAAATACTATCTCTCCGGTCCCCATAGTTGTTTTATGAAAATAGAAAGGAGAAGCTTTTCTCTCTCATGTCTGGAGTTCCATCCCATTAGAAGAATCTTCCACTGACCATGTCCAGGGAGTTATCTATGGCAAATAAAGTAGTTCCAGCTCCAGTTTTTCAACAATTAGCATTGTGTGCGCTCACATAACAAGAAGATGTCCAGCAAGTAGGGCCAAGCCAGTTTTATTGCTTTCATGGGTTCAGTGACAGTTTTGAAGATGCCTAAGGACAGGGTTCCATCTTTCCCTTGTGCGTCTTCAGGAATCTGGAATCTTTTTTGATATCAGACCACCTTTTTCTTTTTAGATTAAGGAAAGAAATTTCTTCTGTGCTGTAGTAAAAGTCCACAGAACCTGCCAATAGCTCTCACGTGTCCTGGACAAGGAGGATGGAAAGGAAAGGTTACTGTTAGAATTCAAGGCAGAACAAATACATACCTGCTAACCCTCTGGATATCCTGTGATCTAAGTCAGAACAAGCAGCTCAGTGCTTGCAGCTGGAGTGCTCCAAACATGTCTCAAATAATTAAAATAACAATGTTTGCTGAAAGGAGAAAGAAACTTGGAAACAGAACAATGCAGAGGAAACAGGGCTGGGATGTGTGTGTGCCTGCACTTCAGCCTGCACCGAGAAACAGCCAGCAGGAAACAGGATGCAGTGGACAAAACAGGACCCATACTGGATCCCAACATACCAGCACTTAGCTGCTTTATGGATTTTATAGATCCCAAGCAGTATTTCTCTGCTCTTAACAAATACAGCAGCAACAAGTAATAACAAAAATGTTCTAAGGGAATTCTACCAATTCACATGAGCAGAAACGTGAGTCACACTTAAGAATTCACCCCCAGGCCCTTTGGTTCTGAGAACTCCCGTGTAGCACAGCCCCGTGGCACCGTCCCGGGCCTCCATCCAGAGTTCGAAAACTTGAGATATAAACAAGCAGAAGATGAATTTCACTTCAGTAATCACTGATTCGACATCTTGAATGTTTCTTTTGATAGTACAAGCTCTCCTGCACTTTGGATGCAACCGGAGAAGTTACGAAAGGAAGAGACGTGTCTTTAGATCCTTTCTGAGGCGTCATCAAAGTGTGCAAACACTTCACATTGACTAGCCATTCCGAACTCATGCAATTTAAAAAAGAAAAGGGAAAAGATAGCAATTAATGTTTGAAGTGACATATATGCCTGAATATCCTGATCTCCGTGGAATTAGTGTGCTAAGTCTCGGAATGCAAAGAAGTATTACTAAGAAATCTGTTTTTTACTGCCACACAATGTAGTAGTGTATCATTTCCCTTGCAATCCATTCAGCTGACTTATACAAAACCCCAAGTATTCCTTAATTGCTTGGAAGTCTTCCCTGATTGTTTCTGCAATTTCAGAGAATTAGGGCTGCTAGGAACCATGAGAGTGCTCTTCCAACACCTAAATTTGAGGGGAGGCCTGCCTGGCACACAGAGCTGTAGATGATGGGCTGGCAGCTTCTCCAGGTGTGGAGAGGGTCAGACAGCTACTGCCTACCTGTCTGACCACCTGGAAATGCTTCTCTTTTGCTATATGGAAAGGTGCCACCTCTTAGGGAGTGAGGGAAGTGGAGATTGAACATTGAATAACATTGTGTTAAGCCACTCAGTGCCTGGCGGGCACTGAAAAACTGCAGACAAACTCATTCATTCTAATCCCGGGCTTCTAGAGTAATTTAATTCTGTTTGGGGCAGAGGCAACTTCCAGAGTAGGATGGACTCTGATGGCCAAGAGGGTACTCCTGCCAAGCTCTGCAGTAGCTTCCATGCTTCTAGGGCTCTGCTACTCATTCACAGAGGGGCATTGGCTCCTTGGTGCCTAAGAATTCATTGATTTGTCAGGGGGAGGAGTAGTCTAATGTCTAAGGATGGAAAAGTTATACAACAGTGGTCGTAAGTCTAAAATAAAAAAAAACACTCAAAAATTATTTCCTTTAGTGTTACTATCTATAATAATTGACTGGGTTAGTTATTGTAGATATTTGGGGATACACCAAACCTCCCACTGAAGGAACTTTCTCAAAGCCCCAGCCGAAGTGTAGACATTAGCAATCAGAGAATGTGTCTGTTCTCACGATGACTCTCAGCAATGATAAGTAAGTCAGCTAACATCATGAGGGTATGCGTATAGGTGTAGATACAGACATATCATGGGCACTTCATCATTAATTGTTGAACAAATCCATGGCATAGTAACACCTTCTTCATTACAGAACCTTATAGGTTACAAAGCACAGCACATGAATCATCTATCTCCCTTATACTTCATAGTAGCCCTATAAGATAGGGTATTATTAGTATTTTTGTTTATTTGGGAGCCATCACCAGTGGGGCTTGAGGTCTGTTCCAAGCCTGGTTCGGGGGATCACTTCTGGTAATGGTCTGGGAAAAACAGGATGCTGGGGATTGAAGCCAGGGTTCCAGCCCTTTGAGCCATCTTTCCAGCCCTGTGCTGTTTTCCTTATCAGCATTTTATAGAAGAGGAAATTGGAAATTGCAGTTACTACCCAAAGTAGTTAGACTAGTAAGTCACAATTGTGTATTGGGATGCTGTTTTAGCACCCAGCCCTGACGCAGGCTTGCTCTACTCCCAGGATACTAGGCTTAGAGAGCAGCTGTCTGGGAAAATGACTGCCTCTTTGACGTGTGCCTGTGACTTGTTTCATTCAGGTGGGTCTTTTTCGAAAATCTGGTGTGAAGTCTCGAATCCATGCTTTGCGTCAGATGAATGAGAACTTCCCTGAGAACGTGAGCTATGAAGACCAATCTGCTTACGATGTAGCAGATATGGTGAAACAGTTCTTCCGGGACCTTCCAGAACCTCTTTTCACTAATAAGCTCAGCGAGACCTTCCTCCACATCTATCAGTGTAAGTAAATAGAATGCAGATCAGGGTTCTTTTATGAACTTGTTCACCTAAATAATAATTCTATGAATTGTAACCAGGAATGCTTGAATATCACAGGTACACAAGACTTGTGACTCTGTGCTCCTTTTCTGATGTGAGTTTTGTTCAGTTTGATATGAAACTCTCCAGGCCTTTATTTGGTGCATTGGAAATCAAAATTGTCCTCCACAATAGTATTTGTGTAAGATCTGAACTAATTTTTAATTTAATTTTAATAAGTATAAAATGAAGTGGAAACACAGTAAGTTTACCATAGATAATTTTTAATCTTATTTATCTTTATCGAGTAATATTACTGTATATACAGTAATCATTTCTGTGTTCAGCAGAAAAGTGCATGACTTGCATGAAACCTGGGTTTAATCCTTACACTGTGATAAACAAACAAATGAACAAATCAAATAAGTTTTTTTAGAAGATAAATCAAATTATACTTAGAATATACAAAATTCAGAGCTAAATGTGTTAAGATGACTAGAAAAAAAGTAAATGCTTTTTTAATACTGTATGTTCTAGTTGGTAGAAAACCAAATAAGACTTTAAACTTAATTTTTAAACTTAAACTTAATTCAACTAATTTTTTTCAGTTGAAATTTCTGTCAGATGTGGTGCAGCTGGTAACTCAAAAAAACCCTAATAATCATGAAAATAGCAATCACTGATTTACAGTCCCATATAGCTAAAGGTAGTCACTAAGTGTGAGATATACTATAAATGAATACATGATTTTTTTGTAAATACAAAATGTTATGTTATTTATAGTAACTTATAGTAATGTTTCAACTTATGAGTTTTTACATGGGCACACACATGCACACTGACACACACAGAAACACACACACATAGCATATAGCCTTTGAATATTCAGCAACTCTGTCCACATTGAACCTCGATATAGAAAAGATCCAATTTGAACGTCTCTATCCCAGAGAGTTTTGCAGTAAATGTGCATAAGAGGTCTAAAATAGTGCACATTCAAAAAAGGATTATAATAAGTACCACTTGTCAAACAGATAATGTGGAGATCCATTTAATAAATATTGTTTTTTTCAGAGTGGATAGGTTAAGTTAGTGGTACATGTTGCTAGCACCCCAACACAGGTATATGACATTGTTGCTGCATTTTTCAGTGAAGCTTCCCTTATGGTTGGGAGCATATATGAATAAGCATATATCAAAAGCATATATGAATCTTTATATTAAATCATAAGGTTTACAATAGTCTACAGTTAAAGTCAGATTAATTCTAGGAGATAAATGCTCCTGGCCCTTACTCTGAGAGTCATGAGCAAGAAGCCAGATCAAAGCAGAGTTGGTTTAGCTGAGCAAACATTTACTGAGTTTCGCTGATATGCAGGCCAACCTGCTGAGCTCTGCACTCAGCCTCGGGCTGGGCAAAACTGACTCTCTGCTTAAAGATTTGACAACTAGAAAGGGGAGAGATTCTGGCATGAATAACTGTAGAACAACAGGCTAGATATATCCATGATAGAATTTCAAAGAAAGCCCCGAAAATGTGGTTAAAATGAGGAATAAGAACGAGGTAGAGAAACTGACAACTACAGAGTGAGCCATGTAAGGAACATGCTGAGTGACAGGAGCAGAGTGAGCATGCGTCCAGGAATAGCAGGGCAAATATCTATTTGCATGAACTGTACAATGAAAATGACACTGAGAACCAAGATGGGGACCATTCCAGGAAGGGCACTGAATATTAAGACAAAGTGTTTATACTCGCTGCACTGAGCGTTTAGTTGTATCGTGGAGGGGCTTACCATCTCAGCTGTGCTCAGATTAAAAGACAGAACCAAAAATCTAACAAACAGTTGTGGAAACGATGTGGGTATTATGTCATGACACATGACAAAAAATCTGGAATGACATAATTCCAGAGCTGGTTTGTTCCATAGCCTAGTGGTGCCAGAGCTGACATCAGCCTTGTTTGGTTGTCCCCTTAACAAGGTTGTGATATGATTGTTACCACTTACAACCAGCATTTCTTCCCAAAATCACATTTAAAAATAAGAGCACAGAAGGGCTTCTCCCTGGGCATATTTCTCTTTTCAGTTGGGAGATAATTTGCTCTAGCACATAGCCTTTTTTTTTCATCCCATGAGATTCTGAATGATTTACATTTGTCTCCTAAGCCTGTCATTGCAAAGACAACGGGGTTACATGCTATGGGCATCCCGCTGGATCCATGAAATATATCTTCCCTTGTAATGTGAGCACTTTGCAGCCCACAGATAAACAGAACAAGTGTGTTTCCTTATGAAGGAAAAGAGGGGGGATGATTGTTTAGTTGGCAGCTAAGCTTGTCTCTGCTACAAAGGTAAATATCCATCAGAACTGCTCTTTGAACCATGAATCTAAAAGCAGTCAACGTGATGTCTTGCACTGGATAAGAACAGAGGGTCTAGGAACTAATCTCTGATTACCTCAGTAATTTCCCTCCATGAGATTGGACTTATAGTGTTCCATGGATAGGTTCTACAGTCAATGTTTCCAAATTCTCCTGTGGAAGAACAATTTTGTTTTAAACTCTGCTACTTCTTGGACTTTCTTCAAATGATTAATTAGAATTAACTATTCAATAATGAAAATATTTTAAGCACACTGGTCTATAGGAGGGATAATGATGAAGAGATCAAGTATCACTGATTTTTTAAAATTGAATTACATTTTGTGGAGAAACACAATTGCAAAACAGTTTATGGTTGGAAGCATCACTGATTTTTAAGGCTTGATGACTAGCAGAAAGGATGGGAAGAGGGGGAAGGAGACTGATACAAGAAAAGGTGTGGGAGAGAAATGTTCAGAATTGAACTGACTATTGAGAGTGTTAGGCACCCAGACATATCCACGGTGGTTGCAAATTATTAGCACCAAGAATTATAGATCTTAAAGACTCCTGAGAGCCAAAAAAAGGCAAGAACCACAGGTGTAATGCATTAACAGAAAGCTCAGTGAGGATAGGATCCAACATTAATGCTGAATTTAGGGATTAACGGTCAATCATAGCAAACATTTCTCTTTTTTTGCAGAAAATAGTTAATAGAAGTCATTTTCTGAGGAATAAAGGAACCATGAGTAGAAAGAATATTGAGACAACACATATCAGTGACAGGTGACTCTTTTATAAAAAGAGAAAATTGACAATCAGTATTTAACAATGTACACTAGATTTTACCTAAGCCAGTTTACTTAAGTTCAGTGACTCAAGCTGAACTTACCAAACTTTCTCGCAAGCTTGAAGTCATTACTAGCGTCTGTTTTTGCTTCAACACCAGGAAGAAAGAGGTTTGTGCTACATAATTTGAACAAAATGTTTTGCTTGTTCCAGTTACAGTGGGGGGTGGGAAAGGGTTTCAAAAGCATGGTCAGGCGGCAGATATTTTCTCGAAGTGTGGATTCACTGACCCCCACCTACTCAACCTCACATTTCCTACATCATTGGGCCAAGCAGGTAGGGTGGCTCACTTAGGGGTGAGGCTGCAGTTCACTGCCATGGCAACTTCCTAACTCCATCCCACTGTCCCTGGGGGCTGAGCCGCATTTCACAAGCTGTCTAGTGAAGAGAGTGGACAAGAGGGAAACCAACGGGCTGGAGCTCAGCGGGTAGGGCATTTGCCTTGCGCAAGACCAACCCAGGTTTGATTCCCAGCATCTCATACGGTCCCCCAAGCACCGCCAGGTGTAATTCCTGACTGCAAAGTCAGGAGTAACCCCTGTGCAGCTGCATTGCTGGGTGTAACCCAAAAGAAGGAATAAAATAAAATAAAATAAAACAAAAAAGAGGGAAACCAAGTGGTAGAGATGCAGCCGTCACCAACTCCCACCCCAGCAGAAAAGCCACCTGCAAAGCAGATGATCTAGATGCTGGTGCTAGTTTGGTCCATGGGGCCTCCCTGCCCAGCTCTGCCTCTCACACTGGAAGGCCTGACAATGACTGACTCCTTGATGTTGTTAACTGTGTCCTCATGGATGTTGATGGCCAGGGTATCTCTGAGAGTGTTTCCCCCCTCTCCCTCTCCCTGCATCAGGAAGGGGATGCTGGCTCACTCCCAGCTGGCTCTTCCGGTGACAGTCTCCCCACCACTCCCCATGACCGGCCATCTGCTTTTTCGCAGATGTCCCACAAGAGCAGAGGCTGCAGGCTGTCCAAGCTGCCATCCTGCTGCTGGCCGACGAGAGCAGGGAGGTTCTGCAGACGCTGCTGTGCTTTCTCCACGACGTGGTCAGCCTGGTGGAGGAGAACCAGATGACGCCCATGAACCTGGCCGTGTGTCTCGCCCCTTCCCTCTTTCATCTTAATTTATTGAAGAAAGAAAGCTCACCCAGGTGGGTTTTTCTTGGCAATAGCAGTAATTTTACACCAAGGATCCTCCCTATTCATTAAAAAAAACATCTAATGCTATCTTGCTTTTTCTTCCTTCCTTCTTTCCTTTCTTCTTTATTTTTACCTTCGTTCTTCTTTCTGATAGCTCAGTGTGGCTTCTATTTGCATTTCCCTGATGATTAGTAACACTGAGCACCTTTTCAGGGACTTGTTGGTCATTTCAGATCAACTCATCTCTGACACACAAGAACACACAAGCGGGAAAGGAAAGTCACTTTGGGAAAATTGGTTACCCACATGCCAAAGGATGAAAACTGGACCCCGTTCTCACACTGTGCAAAAATCAAATCAAATGAAGTTGGCTCGTACATGTAAAATGTAAACTGAAACCACCAGCAGAAAACAGAGAAAGGCTTTCTTGATATTGGTTTTGGCAACAAATTTTTGGACATGATATGAGATAATGCTAGGTTCCATCTTGAGGATTTGTCAGTCCTTAGTTTATAATCAAAAAATATTTTGAGACAGGCCTAATTCATATGACTCAGACTCGTAGAATGATCAGGGTAACCTTAGAGAATGTCTGCTATGGGCCAGAAAGCCTGAGGGAATTTTTTTGTTTTGTTTTGCGTGTGTGTGTGTGTGTGTGTGTGTGTGTGTGTGTGTGTGTCAAGCAGCGGGAGTCAAGTACACAAATTTTACCATCTTTAAAATAAAATAAAAAGGCCAGATTTAAGTCTCTAAGCACAGCAATTGAGGGCAGAGTACTTTAAAACTTTGGAAAAGCATATTAATCTTCCCCACTGGTTGTTCCTGCCTTTGTGTTTTTCCAAGGTTTCTCGTTATGAACTGTCTGATTCTGCCTGATTTAGAATATCTAAGATGTGTGGTCATTGTTTTTGTTTGGAAATGAGAAAGTCTGGGATCTGGATAGCATCGGTTTTGGAAAAAAAAAAAAGACTGAGCTCTGTATTGTGAAAAGCACTTTGGTTTGGGAACCCACTTAGACTCTCTCCCTCAATTACAGAGTCATACAGAAGAAATATGCCACTGGGAAGCCAGATCAAAAGGACCTCAATGAGAATCTGGCGGCGGCTCAGGGACTGGCCCACATGATCATGGAATGCGACAGACTTTTTGAGGTGAGCAAAAGGCTCAACTGCTTTTCTTATAGTCCTTGGAACAAGATAAGATGCTTGGAATGGTTGCTACACTTATGGTTCATGTCTGTTTGTTCCTGGTTGTATAATTATAGGAATACACTCTATAGCTCTGGTCTTTTTCTCCAAGAAATGTAAGGTACTAGTTGAATAATTGAGATTTGACAGTTAAAAACACTTGGGGTCACGGTTATGATGCTTTTCATGAAAATAGTTGTATCACCTTCAGTTGCCAGATCCAAAGCTAAACGGCTGATTATATTTGATTTTACCTTGGAACTTGATTAGGTTCATCTTCTCTGTGTGACTCTGTGTGTGTGTGTGTGTGTGTGTGCTATATTGAGCTGTCTCTGTTATTTAGAATCAATGACAGTTTATAAATATATACCCTAGTATGTTAAAGAAGTAAGTGAATTAGATTTCAGGCACAGTTTTGGTAATAAAAATGAACTTTATGTAATTAAACTAAGTTTTGTATGTGGGGAAAAATGCTGATGAAGTAAAATTCTTTCTAAGTCATATGTGATATTACTGTATTTTAAGTTTCCTCAGCCCACTTTTTCCCAAACTGAAAAAATAGATATTAAAAGTAAAATGGAAAAAATGAATTGGAGATCATTGCCATGTTTTGAATTATAAATACAGCCCCAAAAATGGGTTTTGTTGTCTCTTGTTTGGGTGCAACACCCTCACCCCTCACCCCACACCTTGTCACAGATCACAGAAAAAGATCTCCAACCCCACAGCCCTCATCCTGCTGCCCATGCTGTGGTGATTGATGAAGTGGTTGTTTTCTTTGTGGTCTAGATATTTTCTTAAGCTCATTGTGTTGCTTTTCCCCACATCCATTGGTTCAGGTCCCTCTTGAGATGGTCACACAATCGCATAGCTCTTATGTGGAGGCAGAGGTCCACGCTCCAACTCTGGATGAGTTGGGTACGCAGGTAGATGAGAGTGGGGCAACTTTCCATACTTACCTGGACCAGCTTGTCCAGAGCCTCCAGAAGGAAGCCAAGGAGAAGTTCAAAGGATGGACAGCATGTACCAGTGCAGACAACACAGATCTTGCTTTCAAAAAGGTAATTGTTAGAGCAGGAGATGGGAAAAGTTAGAGTTACATCTAACAGCCAAGGATTTATTCTGATTTTGAAATGGTGACTCTTTTCTTCAAATGCATCTCCAATCAATAACATGGATCAAATAAAATAAGAAAAGAAAATAGCTACTTGGTTCACAGGGCTTAGCACAAGTATGAACGAACAGTGAAGTCACAGTACTCTTCAAAGACCACTCTAGAGCATGCCGAGTGACCCTGTTCCACATAATCAAACTGAGGAATCAGAATCTGAAGTCACTAGATCCCAGACCTGCCATTACCTTAACGGTGTGATATCAAGCCATTTCCAAACATTTCTGTACCTCAGTTTTCGCATTTGCTTCGTGCACATGATATAGCACTGTTTTCAAATGAAAAGTATTTAAAAATAAAGTGAGCGATCCAGACAAATAGTACAATGGGTAGGGTACTTGCCTTGCATGCAGCCAACCTGGTACAATCTCTGGCGCTTCAGGTGATTCGAGATCCCTGTCAGGAATGATCCCTGAGCACAGAGTCAGGAGTAAGCCCTGATAACTGCCCGGTGTGACTCCAAAACAAAACAAACAAAAAATGGTACTTTACATGCAGGAGCCCCAGGTTTGATCCCGAGCACCACATGGTCCCCTGAGCGCTACTGGAAGCAAATCCCGAGCACCTGGATGGAAGTAGCCCCTGAGCACTTCCGGGTGTGGCCCCAAAATTTTTAAGAATTAAGATAAGTTAGAACAGTGTCTGGCACACAGCAAAATGTGTTGGTTATTATTGCTGTTTGTTTATTAGATTAATAATTTTATTAATATTCATGTTTTATTGTATGGTTAGTGGTTAATCTTGTAATTATTTTAAGCCTAGAGGATTGACATTTAATTTTGAAACCTGAGGTACACAGAATCACTCATTACAGTCAGTGTGTTTTGACCATCTTGTGAGGGAAGGCAGGTCTCCTTTGAAAGCAGCTGACTTTCTCCGATGGTTTCTCTCTCAGGTGGGAGATGGGAATCCTTTGAAGCTGTGGAAGGCTTCTGTGGAGGTGGAGGCACCACCCTCGGTGGTTTTGAACCGTGTGCTGAGAGAGCGTCACCTATGGGATGAGGATTTTGTGCAGTGGAAGATTGTGGAGGCGCTGGACAAGCAAACTGAAATCTACCAGTACGTGTTGAACAGCATGGCCCCCCATCCTTCCAGAGACTTTGTGGTTCTCAGGTAAGCCTGACTTTAGAGTTTAAGATATTCTTTTCAGAGACATTTAATACAAACAGATTTATGTATCTCTGAATTTATCCACCTACGTCCAGTCTCTGAGGGGAACAGAAAGTTGGCACTCATTGCCCTCAGTGAGAAGTGATATCACTATATCTCTGACACATTTCCTACTTCTTCCATGCAATTTACACTTTTTCCAGGTTCTCGTATGACCCTTCCTTATAGAAAATATAGCTCAGTAGGTCATAAGGATCATCTATTTCTTTAGAACATGAGCTCAGGAATAACTGCTGTTTGCCTAGTTGAACTGCCTGCCCAATTATGCAAATTAAATTGGATCGGCTTTTCTCCAAATTTTTCTCTTCTCTTTCACTCCCACCCCTGGAAAACATATCATAATGTGTGTGTGTGTGTGTGTGTGTGTGTGTGTGTGTGTGGTGTGCGCGTGCGCGAGCACATGCGTGCGCATCTGTGTGTGTGTGAAATTCTTAAGATGATCATGACTTCTCAGTTCATTCATGCAACTGTGTGTGTGTGAAATTCTTAAGATTATCATGACCTCAATTTGTTCATGCAACTGCAAAAGTTCAGACCTCATTACTATGAAGAGAAATGTTGCCATGGCCCAGAAGATGCTACTGAGACCATTAGGGCCCCTAAGTCAGATTTTAGGCCTGGCAAGACTTGCCTAGTCTTGTATCTCTTGTCAAAATCTGACTTCAGTTAGATTTATGGATTAAACACCAGTTCCCTGATCTCTAGGTTTAGCATGGGATACTTGGCCATCGTTAGAAAGTTATAAGAACAGAACTCTGCACATAGCTTGGGGGATCAGGATTTAGTTAGAAAGAATAGAGGGTTGAAGGTAAAAGAAACAATAAAATATAAATACATATTTCCCTTTTTACTAGTATTCGATTGCACCAAATATTTTCTCTTCTTATAGTTTAGAGGTATAAAGATAGCCATTTCTGAAATTCCCAAGTTGTGTATTGCAAATAGTGTCTTTATGAAGCCATTCCTGCTGGCAAACTGGAGGTTACTATTCACAGGACTCTATGCTCTTGGAATTGGCTCTTGGAACCTTGAATTTTAAGGGTCATGTTCTCCTAAATATATATAGGAGTGTTTATCTTAGCCGCCTTGGGAGGCAGTGGAGAATGTGGGAAGTTATACATTTGGCTTATTACCAGGGTTATTAGAACATAAGTCAGTGTGTGAGAGTTAAACTTCACAGCTTCACTCTTGCAAGCAGAAAATCGGATAGTTCTAAAATGGCAGCATGGGGCAGAGCCCTGCTTCTTCCTTCTTCAGAGGAGGCTGAGGACTTGCATACAAACTTCCTCCTTCCATAATCCAGCAGTCCCACCAGGCTACCCTTTATTAGATCATTTCTTTGGAAATCGTTCCATCCCTGCCTCATGCCAGCTCCTGTTGGGGTTCCTGGGGATGCAGCAGTGAGCACAGCCTTCCTCGGGTGTTGCTGTGTGTAGACTTTATTCACTGTCACTGTCCTCCCATTGTTCATCGATTTGCTCGAGCGGGCCCAGTAACATTGTGAGACTTGTTACTGTGTTTGACATATTGAATACACCACGGGTAGCTTGCCAGGCCTTGCCGTGTGGGCGAGATACTCTAGGTAGCTTGCCGGGCTCTCTGAGAGGGGCAGAGGAATCGAACTCAGGTCAGCCACGTCAGCAGCGTGCAAGGCAAACACCCTACCTGCTGTGCTATCACTCCAGCCCTTATTAAGGAGAGAAAAATAAATAAATAAATAAATAAATAAATAAAGGATTGTCTTACTTAACCTCTTAGAGGAGAGAGGGAGGCTAACTAGGGCAGGGTTTTCAATATAATGACCAGGACTGAGTTTGCCTCACTGGTATTTGAGAACGGCCAGTGGACTAAAGCTCTGAGGGAGAAAGACTTGATACCTGAGTGGATTCAAGATTAAACAGATTGTGTTCCCGCAACAGGAGTTGTGGCCTTGATACAGGCAGGCTTTCTAGAAAGTGCCTTGTGTGGTGAGGAAGGCTACAGGCAGTGATACTTCCTATCAGCCGAGCCCCTCCCAGTCCAGGCCAGCATAGGTGTGGCTGGTCTCCCTTGGGTTTGCTCCTCCCTTTATCCAAAGACAGCTCTGGAGGGGACCTCTAAAGCTGGGACTGGAAACCCTTCCTTTGAACTGCATGTGTAAGCTACACCCTTAAAGAGATCCAGAGCATGATGCAAGTGATTGGCATTGGAAGCAGGGCCCAGGTCTTTGGCTGGAAAGCACCAGTGTCAACCTCGGTGCCTGTGGTGAGCCTTTGCTCTTGCTCAGTGTAACTCTGATGTGTGGGTTGTTTTTCCACAGGTCATGGAAGACAGACTTGCCCAAGGGAATGTGTACCCTAGTCTCTCTGTCTGTGGAGCATGATGATGCCCAGCTCCTGGGTGGTGTTCGAGCCATGGTGATGGATTCTCAGTACTTAATAGAACCATGTGGCTCTGGCAAGTCGAGACTGACCCATGTCTGCAGGATAGACCTGAAGTAAGTACAAGCTTAGGTTGGATGCCTGGTCGGGCTGTCAGCTTGGTGGCACACTGACCGGAGCCCCTAATTTCTCCTAATCACCTGATTTCTTCTTTTTTGCTAGAACTGTCCCCTTTATTGCCATGAACAGACTTTGGTAGTTGGTTTAATAAGCCTCCTCCCCTCTCTCTTTAACTTCTCCCCTTTCCTGGAAATACTGACATCCTCCTGCAATCTTTTGGGGTTTTTTGCTTTTTGGGTCACACCTGGTGATGCACAGGGGTTACTCCTGGCTTTGCACTCAGGAGTTACTCCTGGAGGTGCTCAGAGGGCCATATGGGGTGCTGGGAATCAAACCCGGATTGGCCGCGTGCAAGGCAAACGCCCTACCCGCTGTGCGGGGCTCTCTCCAGCCCCTCGTCCTGCAATCTTTTGCATTTCTTTATATTCAGTTTTGATTCCCCCTTCCTATCCATGCTCCCCCTCTTACCCAAATGCCAGCCCCTCACATGGTTGATGCTGAGCAAATGCAGATTACCTTCTCACACATCCTTGATGCCTGTCCCCTTTCACCACTCCCTGCACACCATCAGTCTCCCATGAGAAGAGGCTCATTTAAAGCCTATGTGTTGCCGAGCTGAGTTCTTGATCTTAGCTGAAGTCTGATATAAACTGAGTTACCTCACTAGCATCTAGATTCAGGTGCAACTTCCTGTTTCACCCTGAAGAGTTGGCATCTTTTTAAAGCACCAGGTTAATGCTTCAAAGATGGTCTGAATCCTTGGCAGGCAAGACGTCTCCATGGTGCCTGCTTTGGGAATGAGGTGCCCCTAGTGCCATGGCTTCCAGTGGCTGCCGAATGTGTCATTGTGATCAAAGCACAAGGACAAACCAGTCTGCCGTGAAAAATTGTTGTGATTTGGAAAAGGCTTTGTCCCACTTCCTTTCTTGTTTTGTCCCCACAGAGGTCACTCCCCAGAATGGTACAGCAAAGGCTTTGGACATCTGTGTGCAGCGGAAGTGGCCAGGATTAGAAACTCTTTTCAGCCCCTCATTGCTGAGGGTCCCGAAACTAAAATCTGAGTTTTCCCCAGTGTGACATCAAACTCAGGGAAGTGGAAGAAAAAGCAAGCACTTGTGGGAGAGCGTGTGCTCGGGAAAAGCAAAAGCAGGAGAGAACCGGACATGGTCCAAGCCTGAAAGTGGGAACACTGCCAAGTCGGAAAGTTGACCACAGAAGAATTCTAGAGAATTTCCCTAGCCTTCCTGGAGATGGCTGCATCCCTAACTAATAGAATATTTTTAAAAATCAGAACATTTATCTATATTGCTTAAAATTAAATGGATTGTTCCTTAATAATTCGCCTTGCCTAATTGGCTATTTAAAGGCTTCTAAGAAGCATTTTCATAACTGTAAATAAATGTATGTATAGCATATGTATATATGTGTGTATAGCTATCTTTATTGTATATATGTAAAGTATCAATTTTATAAATGGTGGCATATTTGGGAAAGAAACGTGATCCAACTCACCGAGTCCCTTCCGTACCAGTCTTCCCAAGTTTCTCTGGGTCTCATCCCTGTCCCACCAGCGAAGCAGAATCTGCTGCTAACCCAAGGTGTCAACCCATGTCACCCGTCACTCTGCCCTGATACTAACCAAAGATGAGTGAACCAAAGGAAAACCATATTAGAGGGTTCTTTTAAACTGATGGTCTGTGCTATTCACAACCAGAAAGTGGAGTGTGGGAGAAAGTGAGTTCAAGAATGTTTATTCCTCTTCAAAGCAATGCAGCGGGTGAGAAGTCATTACCAAATTTAAGACAACACTACCACTTGCCACTAGGCCCAGCCAGATATAGATGCTCATGAACCACAAGTGACTGAAACAGAACCAATATGTCCCACTGATTAGAGCTGACTCTTACCAGCCTTTGCCTAGTCACAGCCAAAGGGAGCCTCTGTATTGTAACAAGTTTTTATAGCTACGTTTCTTAAAGTTATTAAATGCCATTCTGTTTGACCAGTGGCCTATTTGGCCACAGATAATTGGCATTCTCTTACGAGTGTATTGCACTGAACTAACTATGGACACCAGACAAAGGGAGATGATGGTCATTCAAGAGTCTTGGACCATTATAGCTTCAGGGAATTGTATTTTGCAATATATGATGCTGTTAAGATAGAGTTCATTAAAGTTTTACAATCTCAAATACAGGGTTAACCTAAGACCAAAACTATGTAAAACTATGTTCTTTAATTAGTTTCAGAAATATCGAGTTTTGTTAATTCTCTGTGTTTCTTCATTAGCCAGTTAAGCTACCTACGCCTTTGATCTGACCTTATTTATTATTGTGCCATCTAAGCTAATTGACTCTCCTTAACCAATTGTTCATGGATTTAAGTTTGTTGTTGTTGTTGTTGTTGTTGTTATACTTCAACAAATATAGAGATACAGTAACTTATTGTGCTTGGCTTCAGGGAGAGAGATTTTCTTTTATAATTCACAAGAGATTGATATAATTCAACAACTGGTCTTGAAGGAAAAAAGAAAAACTGAAATAAGTGTTTTCCTTTTTTAGTATTGTATGCATTTATATGTTTTATCAGAAATGTGCAATTCTTTTATTGAGAGGAATAAAAATATTATATATGAGGTCTGCATGATGCAAGGGAAATCATACAGTTTGAATTTTTTTCATACCTAGAAAATTTTTTGTTTCCTTGCCTGCCTAAGAAGGTGGCAGTAAATCCATAATTTTTCCATTTGGGCCATGTTCTGTGAACAGAACAAACTCACTTCTGCTACACACCTTCAACTTAGTGTGTGGGTCACTTTAATATGCATAGACAAGATTAGTGAATTTCAGCCTAGCTATACATCGGTCCTACACCAGAGATGTTTGGAGAACATATTAGGCTCATAAGGATGAGTGGTACTGAGCTAACAGGAACATCACTTCTCCAATTGTTTAGCTCTGCACAGGAATCACCCGAAAATGTTATTAAATGCACTCTAATTTAGGCAATCTTGGGTGTATCTGAGGGTCTGCATTTCTAACAGACCTCAGAGATACCAGGGGTCGAAACTGGCTTAGAGATCACACTCTGCTAGACAAGTAGCTAGAGGGTACTTCAAACAGAGTAAAACCAAATACAATTGTATTTCCACCTCCTTTTCTCTTCAAATTACCTTACTTTAAAACAATTTTATGCACATACTAATCACATCACTGCTGCCTACCATCACATCTAAAATGAAAAAGGAGCAAAAAAAAATGCATCCAGCTTATTTGTCAAATACTACAGTATTTTACTCTGTTATCTTGCCAATGAAAATAAAAATATATTTCATTTAAATATGATATTTGTACCTCATGTATATTTTTACCTCAATTGTTGGTATCAATCATTGATTGTAAATAAATAATTGCCAAGGAAAATAAATTTATATATATTAAATATTTCCTATAAAATACATGTTGATTTTCATGCTTCATCCTACAAGTGAAAGATTTGTCACATGAAGATTTCTGTCTTAGACAATTTTCCACTAACTTGACTGCTTTGTCCCATGGTAAATATCCTCCCAGGTACACGGATGTTGTTACCAACAGATTTTCAGTAACAGTCTATGTGTCTTAACCATTGTCTAAGGTATTAAAGTGACAGCTGGAAACTTTTTTTTTATTTTATTGAATCATCGTGAGATAGTTACAAGCTTTCATGTTTGGGTAACAATCACACAATGATCAAACACCCATCCCTCCACCAATGCACATTGCCCACCACCAATATCCCCGGTATACCCCCCTTTCCCACCCTCCCCCTGCCTCCATGGCAGACATGATTTCCCATAATCTCTCTCTACTTTCGGGCGTTATGGTTTGCAATACAGACCCTGAGAGGTTACCATGTTTGATCCTTCATCCACTTTCTGCACACATACCCCATCCCAACCAATTCCTCCAGCCATCTTTTTCTTAGAGATCCCTTCTCTATTCCAGCTGCCTTCTCCCCTTTGCTCATGGGGCAGGCTTCCAGCTATGGAGCAATCTTCCTGTCCCATGTATCTACTATCCTTAGGTGTCAGCCTCATGTTATATTGTTTTATACTCCACAAATGAGTGCAGTCCTTCTATGTCCCTCTCTTCCTGACTCATTTCACTTAGCATGATACTCTCCATGGTGTTTTTTTTTTTTTTGCATTTAATTATTTTGTTTGTTTGTTTGGGAGCCATTTCTGGCTGTGCCCAGGGCTTAGTGCTAGCAGGGCTCGGAAAACTATGTGTGGTGCTGGGGATCAAACCTGAGTCGACAGCTTGGAAAGCAAGTGACCTACATGCTATACTTTTGCTCCAGTCCTGCATTTAATTATTCTTAACCCTGCCAATTATTTTTTAATTACATTTATAGCATTTTTATCTAAGATTCATCAACTCCAGCTATTTTTTTATTGAGTGGAGAAAACATTAAGGCCTGGCAATGCGACATAGACCCATGCATGACTCAGGTGCTCTTGCTTGTTTTGCTGAGTTGATTATTGTGTAAACTCAAAAAAGACAGCAGTGGTCTATCTCTCCCGCCGCCTGCGTCTCACCCAGGTTTCCCCACCCCAGGGAGGTCGATGGCGATGGGCAGGTGAAGGAAGGAAACGAGGGCCAGGCTGGTTTGTCTTAGTTGCAGTTTATTCCAATCCTCTCTCCATTCACTCCTGTCTCTCTCCTCTGCCTCTCCCCGCCCACTCTTACAGTCTCACTATATCCCTGAGCATGAGGGATTGGGGTACCAATTACACAATCAGGGGTAGAGTTCTTTCCCTCAGGGAAAGCCGCTTCTAGGACAGATTCGACCCATTAGCAGGTCGACCCACCCTGGAGCGGAATCCCCTGGGTGTGTTTCTCCTCTCCTTGTCCAACAAACATATAAGCATACATAATATAAATCATTTTGTATGGATACAGTAAGAAATACCTTAAGCTTATAGAATTGCTCTCTTAGGACTCTCTCCATCTCAGACTACAGTGCTCAGGCCAGATAGTCTTTTCTATCCCTAACAGGGTCCCAGTCTCATCATTACTTTTGGATCATAACAACATTTATTTATGATCAAGCTCTTAACTTATAGTTAAGAATCGTGGCACTTTGGCATGGCCCATTTCGATGCCAGGGTAGTTCACAGCTTGCCCTGGGTCCATTCAGTCCCTCATCGGGACCCTGTTTTGGGGGCGCTAGGAACTAAGGGCAACTGAGGCTTAAGTCGAGAAAGCAGATGCCTGGGAGTGAATAATATTCAAAGCCAATTAAATCCTAAGTTACAAAAACATAATATTAACTGTCTTCCTATGTCTATACAAAAAGGACATTGCTTTAAAGTAAACTATTCATAAGACATAAGGAGAAGAGAAAGACAATATTTCACTCTTTTTTTTTTTTGCTTTTTGGGTCACACCCAGCGATGCACAGGGGTTACTCCTGGCTCTGCACTCAGGAATTACTCCTGGTGATGCTCAGGGGACCATATGGGATGCTGGGAATTGAACCTGGGTGGGCCGCGTGCAAGGCAAATGCCCTACCCCCTGTGCTATCACTCCAGCCCCAGACAATATTTCACTCTTACATGTAAAATCAGATTTCTGAGGAATCTGAGCTTACAAGTTAACACAGTCTGATTAGGGGGAGAAGCTGATTAACTGGTTGGGGAAGAGAGCAGAGAGAAGAGGTTACAGATAAACAAAGGAATGGGAGTGACTCAGGAGCACTGTAATGAGTGTAACCTGATAAACCTAAGCGCCTTGTGGCAAGAGAGAAAAGACAAACCAATGTCATCCTACAGAGTATTACTGCAGAAGATCACAAAGGTTAAGCAAAAACTTCCAACCTTCTTAGTTACAGGTCCCAAAGACCGTATGCCCATAAAAATCACCCAAATTCTTCTCTGCTTCTTTCCCTAATGCCTTCACCATTTTCTGGCAAGTTTTGCTTTCTGAGGACAAGAAGGAATTTCAATGGCCCTTTTTCCTCTTTTGTGTAATGGAAGACATTCTAGTAATGACTACAACTGCAACCCTGGGCTTTCTGGAGCCAAATTTAACCATGAGGATACTCATAGAGTTTTGATATAAAAAGCTGTCTATCTTTTTAATAATTAACCACTGAGCATCTAGACATAGGACTTCTTGAGAAAAGCATGTAATGGGATAAAATAGACCCTGATTGTGAGGGGAAAAAAATCACTTCTGGAGTATCACATGCTAATAGACATACACACACATACACAAACACACACACAATAACATAAGGAATGAAGAAATGAACACCTAAAGCAACACCCCTTTAATGTTGCAAGCCTCATGTTTAAAAAACTGGCAACATGCAAGGTTTGGAATACTTTATAAGTGAGAGATTCCCAAACTTATTTGACATACCATTATTTTTCC